TTTTTTTAAATGCTAAATATATATCTGTGTAAATTACTAATAAACATATCTAAATCTGAGTATACAAAATGTGGCCTTGTGGACATAACTCTGAAGACAGATTTAGTTCAAGCATGGTTCAAGAAGATGAATGAAAATTAAGTGTCATTACAGAGCACCAAACAGAGAAACGCTTCCTGTGCGAGATAAGCCGGACATGAATATTGTGTGACCTACGACTCATGACCTTGTTCAATGATCAATTTTAAACATCTGTTAGTTTCTTTGAAATATCAATTTTAAGACAAGTCAGTAATGTGTAGATAGGTACCACTCAGCAGTTCATATCATTTGATAATACAATTCAATATCTAAATCCTATAATTGCCATGAAAAAAATAAATAGTACAGTAATTGATATACTGAAATTGTAAATCTAATTTTCTTGGGATTATCAGACCATCCAATTCAAATTAAAAGAATATAAACTTAAAAAACTGAATCTCTTTCTGCCAGTGCCTTCAAATCACATGGTGATAATAAAAAATATTTAAATATAATAATGAATAGTTTGGAAATCAGTGTCTTGTTTTATTTTAAAAATTATTTGATGTCACACAAACGTAAATATACAAAGCATAAATGTAATATTAAACATAATAATTGTGAAAAGAACACCGCAAACAAGCTAAGTTGTCATACTCTGGCACCCTTTACTTAATCTAATTAATTTAAAACATAAATTAGTTTTATGTCAAGAACAGAGGGGAAAAAATCCTAGGGTATTAAACAGTCTCAAAATACTTTGTATTGTAATATGTTTGTTATGGAGTTGAACTATTGATTCCAGGTTTTTAGTTCTCTATGTACTGAGAGCGGTATCCTGTTATATTTGTAATGTAATGTTATACAAAAACTATTTTTTATTGTTATTATTGGTATCTTTTGTATTAGTATTATTCAGTGTATTTTTTCTTTTTTCTTGAACATATTTTAAAAATTAATTTGATGTTATATATCACAGGTTCAAATTCTCTCTGATGTACGAATATCAAGCATATACCAAGAATTCCAGAGTGACCAGATGGGTTCGTACTTTGGTCAGTCCCTTGCAGTCTCTGACTTTAATGGTGATGGGTAAGCCTAGTCATTTTTAGCTTTTCAATTCAATTTAGTTCAATATAACATTTATTCATCCACACAAAATAGTGGACAAGGGACAGTTAAAAAGCTGAAGCTTGTATAAACTGCCTCGCTTAACAGTAACACACACAATTGAACAGAAGTAAAATATAATTAACTGAAAATATAATTAACTAAAAAAAATAATAATAATATATTATTATATTATATTATATTTAATTAAAGAGCATTATAATAAATTTCTATCATCCATTGGATTTTTTATTGAGAGTAATTGTAGAATAATTTGCCTTTTGTACACATTTTAGGTTTGTCACAAAACTAGATTGTTTTAATTCACTACTTATATAGTTCCAGACATGGGGACCATGAACTGAAAGAAAAGATAGACATTTCATTAGTCTTATTGATATAATGGCCTAGATATTTAACACTTACGCCTATAAATGTTCTGGTTCTTGTGGATAAAGTTGATCTAGGACTCCAAAATGTAGCTGGAGTATAATAACAGGAGGGTAGAAATAGAGTCGAATGATAGGAAAGGTTCACCATCGTAGTTTAAGTGAAGAAAAAATAATCACTGAATTTATTTTTCTCTATTCAATTGATAATTAATTTTTAACGATTTTAAAATGGAATAAAAACAAGTTAAAAAATATGATATCAATATTTTCATTAATTTATAACATATTCTTTCAGACGAGAAGACCTTGTTGTTGGTGCTCCATTGTACGTTGTTACAGTCTCAAGTCAGAAAAGATGGGAAGCTGGACAAGTGTACATCTACTATCAAGATAGTGTGGTATGATTTGATTGATTAGTTGATGAATTTAATTATTAATTTATTAATTTTTAATCAATCAATTGATTAGTTGTTTGGTGATTACTTGTTAGATTCATCTAGGCCTACTTAATTAAGTACTTGCTTGAATTAGCAGCCGATGAATTGTTTGGTTGTTTCATAATATATTTAATTTGCATCCAATAAAACTTTCCATTAAAATTCTTTTAAAGAAGAATTTTGCCAAGATATTGATATATAAAAAATTAAGTGGTATGTCCATATTTTTGTCACCAGTGGCAGATCCAGAGGATGGGGGCCGGGGCATATTACCCACCCTGTTCCTAATGCCAAAACTAACCACCTTACCATGTCTTGTCCCCTTGTTTTTGTAATTTTGTATCCCTCTCCTGGTGACATATCACAGAATGAAAAGATCAGAATGTTTAAATTTGCAACAAGGATTGAGGGATGAATTTTGGCCTTCTAATATTTCTATGTGAAGCTATAGGATTTATCACATAATTATGAGAACATATCATGTTCAATTTTCATAATCGTAGCTGTAAGCCAAGAGGTTTATAAACACAATCATATTATTCTCAAAATATTTTTCAAGCATTTAAAGATGTAGGTCTATACAACTACCTGTACATGTTGAGCTAATATAAATGGTATTAATCAAATATCTGATATTCATGTATAAATTCTTTCTCTTGTTTTAATCAGTGGCTCATAACTTTAAAATATATAAATTAAGCAATTATTTAAAGAAATCAAGGTTATATGATATGTAGTTATAATACTCTGGGTTCTTCTGGTGGTATGATGATTTATAAATAATATTTTAATTGTAGAATTATGTTCATTTGTTCAATTCCAAAAAATAATGTTGTTGATAGTACACACATTTATCAGTGACAGTTCACCACCATGCTACATAAATGAACGATAATTCTATATTGTGATGTACATTCCAAATGAACATTTTCAAAGAATATTTTGGTAGTTTTGCTCGAATTGTCAATTGTTTACAGTTGTCTTGAAAGGATTTGTAGCCTTTTAAAACATTACCATTTTATAATCTCATTTTTCTGTATTCCCATTTTAAAATTTTACCATATACAGTAAATTGTGTACTTAACCAAACTGTTGATCATAACGTTGTAAATTATTAACTCATATAGTTCCCTTGTTTGGCCTCCCTCTGTTAAGAATCGTTTTTGGGCATGCATATATCTTGTCCAACAGTAAAAGCCTGTTTATTCTTCAACGATAACGATAACGATAAAAAGCTAAAAAGCAATTGTTCATATAGAAAATAAAAGAAATAAGAGAAGTTTGTACACTAGAACGATTCGATAACGATTTATCAGTTGTGCGATAACAACATATTTTGACAAATAAAATCAGATGATGTCATAATCATGGAAAAACATTAAAATCGTAGTAGTGGCAAAGATTTTATCGTTTTTCCATGATTATGACGTCATATGATTTGATTTTTAAAAATATTTTGTTATCGTATACACGATAAATCGTTATCGAATCGTCCTAGTGTAAAAACTTCTTTTATTTCTTTTGTTTTCTATATGAAATCGCTTTTTAGCCTTTTTATCGTTATCGTTGAAGTATAAACAGGTCTTTAGTCTAAGATTAGGTTAATTACTCTTAGTTCCTTTGTTTGCCCTCCCTCTGTTCAGAATCGCTTTGGAGCCCCGGATGTCCTGTCCAGCAGTAAGACGAAGGCTAGGTTTGGATTTTCATTAGCTGCATTGGGTGATATTAACCTGGACGGATTCAATGGTAAGATCTCTATCTTAATACTCAGTTATTTCCACATTGTTTCTGTAAGAAGCCTCATTTATAATGAGGATGGCGAGGATAATGATGATGGTAATAATATTACAGATAATGATGTTAATTATTAGGAAGGTGATATTGATGGTGATTATGATGTTGATGAGGATGATAGTTGTTATGATTTGGTTTGATGATGATAATGTTAATGATAATGATGATATTAATGAATGTGTGATATTGGTGTTATTAATTTTGATGAATGATAATTGTGATGGTAAGGCTAAAAAAAATATTGTTTGTTTGCCCTCCTCTACCTGCCCCTAACTCAATGAAAAAAGTAGGGGGCGGAAAAACAAAAAAACTTTTAAAAAGTGTTTTTTTTAGCTTTCTTCTTTACAAATTAAAAAAAATGTGAGTGAATTTATCATTATTTTTTGCCAGATGCCCTACAAATTGGTGTAAAGTTGTCTGATGTAAGATATTGCCATTCTAGCAGGGACGTATCCAGGGGGGAGCCGTGGGAGCCGTGGCTCCCCTCCCCCCCCCCCCCCCCCCCTCCCCCCCCCCCTTTGTACAGAGTGTTGAAATTTTAAAGCTTTCTCTTGTTTTAATCAATGGCTCATAACTTTAAAATATATAAATTAAGCAATTATTCAAAGAAATCAAGGTTATATGATATGTAGTTATAATACTCCGGGTTCTTCTGGTGGTATGATGATTTATAAATAATATTTTAATTGTAGAATTATGTTCATTTATTCAATTCCAAAAAATAATGTTGTTGATAGTAGTCCCTGCATTCTAGGCCTCTGTGGGTAATTTTTATTCCATCTGATGAGTAGCTTAAAAAAAAAAAAAAACTTTTCCACCTGCCCCTTTTTATTATTTAAAAAAAAGAAGGGCAAACGAACAACTTATTTTTTTAGGCCTAATGGTGTGCTGATGATAATGTTGATGAGGATGATATTGATGAAAACATTTTGTTGATGGTATTGGTGATATAATAATTTTGATGAGGATGATGTTGCAGATGATGATGATAATTGTGATGATAATGGTGTGATGATGATGATAATGTTGATGAGGATGATATTGATGAAAAAAATTTGGTGATGATAATTGGTGATAATAATTTTGATGATGATGATGTTGCAGATAAGGATGATGATGATGTTGATGATGCCGCTAGCAACAGCCTCAACATTGGCGCTGGTTCCAGCTGCTCCTTGCCCATACTTCGGTTGGTAGAACCAAGTCTTCTCGGATAAGGACTTAAAATGGATACCCAGTGTATACACCTGACTCGTGTACACTTTAAAGAATCCATTGCACCTTTCGGAAGAGTACGGGGGTTACCCGAATGTTATGGTTCATTTTAGCCCTTGTCGTTGTGGAATGATGTGAACATGTAGCTACCATGAAGCGCCTCTTTACGGCTGCTAGGTAGTCACGGACCACGCCCATACGCAATTCAGCACAATGACGCTGCAAGTTATGGGTTATATTCAACTACCATTACCTTTACCTTTTATTATAAATCTGCATTTTCATTGACATCAGATCTTGCTGTTGGTGCTCCATATGATGGTGAGGCTGGAGATGGTTTAGTCTACATCTACTCTGGTCACAATGGTGGCTTAAGGAAAAGAGCACCACAGGTAGAAACCCACCTATGATTGCATAACATAATAAGGTTTCTTTTTATAAAGATTAAAGCACCCTCTGTAGCTGACATTTTATTATGAAGAGCTAAGTACAGCCATGAGTTAAGTTATTTAATCACAGTGATTACATTTTATTTTTCGAAAATCAATCTCCTAACACATTGTTCCTTTCTCAAATGTCAATCAACATGATTTTTAGTACCTGTCAGCAAGGCAAGGCCCTTTGGAATGATGTTTGTGGTTAATTCAATCTATTTTACTCCCATTTATGCTAAATTGACAGAAAAGGATAATGAAGCAGAAGAAAATGTTATAAGTGGAAATTAAGATACTGAAGAAAATGATATTATTGAGTTTACCTGTTAACATTTATAATTGAGTTAGGATACTAATGTGGTATAGCGTTTGGCTATGTTAGTGTCCGGTTGTTACTGTTATTATTATTTTTTTAATTGGATGGAGTTTGTTATACTTTCAATGTTTTTCACTGCAGATCATTGAGCCATCTGCTGTATCACCAAACAGCGGACTTTCTACATTTGGTTATTCCCTGGCTGGTGGCCTGGACATGGATAATAATAATTATCCAGGTATTATTGCTAATATTTATATTGTTAATGGTATTATCATTAATATTATTAAATTAATGATAATAATATTTTATTATTGTTACATTAATATTATAGTTGTTATTGTTAATATTATTATTATTTTTGTATTTGTTAATGTTAGTTAACTATTGTTCAGTTGCTATTGTTAATATATTAATTCTAATATTATTTTTCATGTTATTATTTATAATGTTATAATTATTATAAATTGTATTATTGTTAATGATACAGTATTTAATTATTGTTATTTTTATTTAGTATTATTGTTATTATTGCTTATCTCTATTTCAGATGTGTTGGTTGGTTCTGCCTATTCAAATGCAGCTGTTCTATTAAGGTATACAGCTTTGTAGACAAAGTTTATTTATTTATTAACCAAACCACAGGCAACAGCAAAAAAAAAAAAAAAAATTCGCAACTTACAGCTTGGTGTGAATAAATAGGAACAAGTAGTTTATATTAAAATGTTTCCTAGTATATATAGTCTTTATTGTATATTTTGATAGAAATATAGTTGTGCAGTAAAGCAGTCATCCCCTCCTAACCTCAGTATAATAGTCTACGCCCCCCATAACTTCAATATAATAGTCTACCACCTCCAAATCTCAGTGTATTATTCTTCCCCTTCCCAAATCACAATATTCTAATCTTTCCCAACCTCAATGTAGTAGTCTCTTCCTTCAAACTTTAATATAGTCTATACTTCCCATCTCAGAATTTTACTAAGTAGTCTATTTATTCCCTAACTTCATAGTAGTAGGCAACCTTTCCCCATACCTACAATTTGCTAGTCTACCCTCCCAATTTCTATGTACTAGTGACTAGTCTACCCCTCCTCAAGGTAGTAGTCAACCTCCGCTAACATCAAAATGGCTATAAAACACTTTATTTTTGTCTTGTAATTATTGAGCTGAAAATTAATAGAGAATAATTGAGGAGTATCGTCAGGTAAATGTTATATAGGATTTTTGCTATTTTTTAATTTTTGTAGATCACGACCGATAGTAAAGCTAAGCAAAATTGTTTCAACCCCCCAACCATCAGGCATCAACTTAGATGAAAGGAATGACACAGTTAATGGTGAAAAGGTCGTAGGGTAATGTATATGCTTATATGTTATACGAAAATATAGAGTAAATTCTTTGTCCATGCTATGTCTCTTTATGTGTATTTTTGTCTCTATGTTTACATTTCTCTGTCTTTTAATGACTCTCTGCATCTTTTTGTCCTAAGTGTTTTCAGTGTCTCCTTTTGTGTCTGCCTCTTATCATGTCCCTATATCTGTGGGTTTTTTTTCCATATTTATTTGCAGTTTCTCATGCCTGTCTTAGTGTCTACCTGTTTCTTTATCCATGCTACTCCCTGTTTCTTTGTCTATATATGATGGTATGAAATAAAATATTTCCTGTTTATTTTCAGTTTTGATGTGACAACTTGTTTTGAGTACAAAGGAAAGTATGTGCCAAGCGAGATAAGTAAGTACATGCAATATTTGTCAACCGAATAATGAAAACATAAACTCAATCGAAAGAAGGCATAAACCTTAATAGCCTGGTTCACTTCAAACTTTTATCTAGATATACATCCACTTAACTAGTTAAAATTTCAACGTGAACCAGTTAATTATAGCTAGATAAAGGCTTAAGTCACTTAAAGTTAAGTGACTTAACTTCACTAGAATAGCGGTAAATTAACTTGCTTAACGGTGTAAAGTCGGCTCGGATTACAAGGACACGATTATGTAACGTAGGCATCTAAGCCAGTGTTGTATTGTACCACCATTATCATGCTCTGGCTGGCAACAACGTACTCCAACAACGCTAACAGCAGCAGCGAAGTAGTCTCATTAGTCTGGTTTTCAGAAATTATTTGTAATATTATGGGTAAAAACCCAGCAAACGTTTGTTTTACGAATAGTCGATAATACCATTGACCTTTGCCCTTTGCATCATCGACCAAGTAATAACGTTAAATAGTCCGATTGCGTACGTTTTTCAAAGTGATAATGTATATTTTTCTTGATAATAAAATCAGATTTGTATTTATTTATTGACAATTCAATCTTTTCCATTTCTGCTATAATAGTCGCTATTAATTCAGTTTCAACGAACTACCACCAGCGCCAGTTGATAAAATGAGCGCACATGTTTACGATGACGAAACAAAAAAATGTGGAAGTCAGCAACTTATTTGACACAGCGATTCGAACCTAGATTTTCGTGAAGTGCATGTAAACAACACATTAATCCAGCGATCTAAAAACTGCAAAAAAAAAAAAAAACACGACAGAAAGGTCCATAAAGACGTTTTAATGAGAAATAAAACAATATTTTGTTAAATGGGAGAATGCTAGCGAAAATAATTTGGTTTTTATCGAAGGTAAATTTAGCTAGGGCCTACTACTATTGCAGTAGAACACGCTGCTGCACTGTCGGTTGGTTCGTACTACCTGCTGGTCGCCTATATATCAATAGCAGAGGATAGCTAGGCTAGGTAGTGGAAACTGACACCTGATCTACAGTAACTTACGAATGTGTAAATTTTTTTTACGAATGCCCCTTGGTACAAGAGGTTCGTAAAATACAGTAGACGTTATTTTAAAACAAGCCTTTCCATCGTGTGACGTCGACGGCCGCAAAGCTGGCTGGCTGTTTATCTGGCTCTAACTTGGCATCGAACACAACTAGGGATAAATCGTATCATATTTAAGGATTTAAATAAGTCCATGGCTTAACTTCGACGTGAACCAGGCTAATTAAAATTAAGAGTTCTTATCAGAAGGCAAATTTAGGTACAGCAATGTTGCGTGATGCAGAAGGGGATATAAAGCCCCAAGTTTGACTTCTCGCAAAACTCTGAAACTGGCTTAACACTTTTTTTTTCAGTTTTCATTAGCGAGCTTTCGCAATGGGCGACGCGGGGAGCTGCGACGGGGAATTCAGTCAACCATGAACGTCGTACTATGTACTTCCTGTCTCAACATCAAAGCTGTTTCGATTTACAGGACGACACAGTTCTTCGTATCGCGTGATCAAATATGCAGACGCCCCCGGCGAGCACGTATTTATAAAACTCACGTTGCCGTAGTCAACACAAGCCAAATTGCTAAAACCCGTTGTCAAATCCACACAACGAACGACTTCCCCATGTATTCGCATGAGCAGTACGGTTTCACGCTCCACTGCCTGTCGTAGAGCAGTACGGTTTCACGCTCCACTGGCCGTCGTAGAATGTTGCATCATCCAAATCGAAAGCTGCTTAATATCTTGAATGACTCCAGCCACAAAACTTCTACCATTAGATTTCAAAATTTCACTAAAAATTTTCGGAAAAAAAAACGCATATATGCATTATTTAATTATTATGAACTAGGTCATTTTAATTGCCAAAAATTTTAGTTATACATTAAAAGAGGAAAAAATTAGAAGTAGAGACTATTTCTCATAGGAGATTACCCCTTTATCGACGACTCCTTCGTTACTAGGCAAGTTCAGAGGTTGTAGATTGTGTACACTGGCGAAAGCTGCTTTGTGTATACTTTATACAGTCGAGTGTCAGAGGTAGGAAGGGTAATTGTTTGACGAACCTGCCGCATTCCATATTTTTTATCTCGCCCACAAATGCCATGAACTCTCATGATAAGATATTTAGATTCATCCGACAATTAATTAAATGCATTAAATAATCTTACGTCCAATACAATCGGGAGCGATAAATAAAGTGTGCTCTCTCTCTCTCTGAGATTATTTCTTGTACCTCGCACATTAAAGTCGATCTAGTAGGCCTGGGGTGTGTTTGTTTAATTGTCAAAATCTTGATCAAAATAATTTTTTAACAAGTTTGAAATAATTCCAATAAAATATTATATTTTCCAAGCGTCAATACTAGCAACGGAAAATATCATGTCATCCGTTTTTATGTCTGGTAACAGAACCTCAATCAAGGTAAAGCTAGGCCTATAGCCTCAGCGTTGCTAGGCTGATGTTTTGGGCACCTACTGTATTCCTTCAGATTAGATCAGTTTTACAACATATCAACATTTTGTTTTTCCTCTGGAGCCTGGCTTCAACAACAGTGATTTATCATATTGTGGTATTTTCTCATATTCACATCACTGTGATTATTCTTTCAGTTATTCAGTACACAATAAAATTGGACTCAACTCAACAAGTTAGTCAGTTAAAGAGGGCACTATTTATGTTGGATGGAACCGATTCTACAAGTGGACGAATGATGTTAAATGTGACCTACGAGAGTTGTGTGACGCATATGGCATACATTAAGGTTAAAGACAAGCCCGTAGCCAGGGGGGCTTGAAAGAACCCCACTTTTCCAGAAATGCCCTTTTAAATTATTTAAAAAAAGTACCATTTGCATGGAAGTTGTTGAAATTGACTTTAAATATTTGAAATTTGGCGTTTTTATTGCCATATCTCTGAGGTGTTATATCTTTAAAGTTTACCCCACCCATGGTGGGGCTGAGGTGGTTAAGGACTCAAAGTGCCCTTTTGTGAAAAATTAGAACCTTTTAATAATCCTGCTTAAGGGCTTGAAAGAAAAAAAAAATTATTTAGTCTTTGGATTAATCAGTGATTTAAAAAAAATTATCAACTATATTTCCTGTCTCTTATACACATCTAGATGTGTATAAGAGAAGCTGTAATATTCAGAAATCAATTTATCAAGAATTATGTGTATGTTGGTAACTTGTACAAGCAAGGTGAACTTTATACAATGTGTTTTATAAATGACTAGTAAAATTGGTAGATTTTTAGATTTGATTGTTTATATCTCTCTTTATTCTAGCTCTATTTTGTGAATAATTGTCCAAACAATAAGTGTATACCAGATTTGGAGCTAAAGGCAAATGTGTAAGTAAACTATAATATAGTTTGATGGTTTGCATGTAGAAGTAACATTAATAATAATTGTTTGCAGTACACCACATATTGTTCTCAGAAGAACTGTTGTTTTTTTGTTGGGAGTCAATTGACCAATTATATATATTATATATTTCATCAATTAAAATAAATTTGTTATTTAAACGATAAAAATAATTAATTGTTTTATTAATCTTGTTTTCAGACTTCAATCAAAGATTATTATTGGTGATACTAGTGATCTTGTTGTGAACATCAGTATTACCAACAAAGGTCAAAGTGCATATCAGTCTATACTGAATGTTGTGCTTCCAGAGGGCATAGGATACAGTCGCATATCAAACAAACAGAATGTAAGCTTATTTGTATTTCTCTTTGAATTATGATGTTGTTTTAAATCTAATTAATTTTATTCACTGAAGGACAAAATTGAAAAAAAATACAGACAAACATGAACTATATGTGCTTATGTGATAAGAAGTAGCAAAAGTAGTTAGGAGCCACTGTTTCCTACTTGATATAACTACAACCCTAGCACTAATGCACATCAGATAAATGTGTGTCCAACCATCATTGGCCAATGGCCAACCATGCTTTAGTTTAAGGAGTAGGTTTTAGTTTTATATGAAAACATCAACTTTTTTCAAAATGTCAAACTCAAGGAGCTCAGTGACCAAGTGCATAGAGGCTTTTTCGCATGATACAAATCCAACCATTATTATGATTATTAAGTGGCAAATCCTCAAAATATTTTAAAAATAATGCATACTTGTTCACAACAATATTTTGGTGAGCTGACATTCTCGTTACTATGCTAGTTAAAAATGAAAACATCCTAAGCTCTGCACTGCTCCTATGATTGGATGTAGAATACTACATAGCTCTGTAGAAACTTGCTTGAAATATAGGATTATTAATTATTAGTGTGATGCAATGCTCTTTACATTATATTAGATCAAATTTTTAATTATATTTTAGTGAATTAAAAACTATTACCCATATAGCCTTGTAGGGGCTTACTCACTAAATGTCTAAATACTAGGGCAGTTCAGCAAAGTAATTTTAGGCATTTTTAAGTTTTTATAACTTGTTTACTTGTTTCTGAAAAAAATGAGCAGGAGCACTTTTTTGGTTAACAATAGATGTCTTTTTGCAAGCTTTCACCCCAGTCAATAGGCCTTCATCGAGTTACCCGCTCAAGCGCCTTTGACTGGTAGTAGTCAAATAAGTGCTACCTACTCATTTTTTCATTTTTATACACTAAGCATGACTGAACTACTTATTTTTTTCTGTATATAATACTAAATAAGAGTTTTAAAAATTATTTATTGTTTATGATAAGCCTATTTATCTGATTAAGATTTTATCAGCTTTATGATTGTTTTTTGACAGACTTTCAAGGTTGCTTGCACAGAGGTCCAAGGAGAGACTAGTCAAATAACGTGTGATGTTGGGAACCCAATGCCGGAGAACTATAAGGTAAACTTCAATCATAATCAAAGAATTTTCATTACAAACAATTTTACTGGATTTTTTATGTATAGCTTGGTTTCCATACAATTGCTACAGTGTTTTCAGTGCAACCAATCAGCATCACTGAAAGTTGTCTGCGATAGCTTGTAGCGATTGTATGGAAACCAAGTTTTACAAATTCAAATTTCTGCACCTTCTGCATGATTATCAACACAAATTTACAACACTTTTACTTTGTTTCATTAATTATTTGGTCCATATTTGTGATAGAAATATACCAGGGACACGCATCCAACAATAGTTAAAGGTGTACTGTAGTATCCTATCCTTTCTTTTCATTCCTTGTCTGTTTCTCTCTTTCCTTATGTTGCCCTCTCTTCTTCCACTTTTCATGTTTCTCTCATCCCCACAGTATCAATTTTACCCTTATGAATGTGTTTTTAATTGTCAAAAAGACTTCATGGATTAACATGCTATATTGGTATTTATAGCTGGATTTTGAACTTGTTCTTACAACTGGTAATGTCATGGGTAAGACAAATACCCTCAAAATTGCAATGTCTGTTGGCAGGTGAGTTAGACTTTATAAAAATTGTTTTGTTAGGCAATTTTTTAAATAGTAATCCATTTGTTATGTACTAATTTGCTTATCAGAGTATCTAATCAGGACAATTTTCCAGCCGACCTGATCGATTTACAGGGCTTTGGTTAGCCTGGGTTCCAGTGGTAGGATTTATCAAACTAGAAATCAGCTTAAATTCGTCTTTAAGTCCATTTTTTCTTAAGTCAAATTTATCAATATTGCTTAGCTTAAAAAGTGCTTAAAATTAAAAAGTCGATTGTACGCATGTGCCATCTAAGATGATTTTAAGCTAAGATTTTGTTAAGGTGGTTGGATATATCAGCTTAATATATTTACTTAGGTACATCTTAACTTTCTTGACATTTCGTAAGATAGATAAATCCTGGGCCTGGCCCTAATTTTGGGTTACACACTCTTTATTGCGCTTAGTGCATGCCATACTTAATTTCATTAGTGTCCCATACTTTATTTCTTTTTTTTGGATTTCCTTAGTTTGTCTCTAAATTAACTTTCTCATTGGTGGCACTATCCAGAATGGGGAAAAAAAAATAATAAGGGACTTGTGGCAAGTCTAGGCTTTGGTGTGTATTTTGTCAGGTTGTTTTTGATTGGAGAGTAGGTCACCGCTACAATATTAACAAAAATTGTTATATTGTAATGATTTAATGTCTGTGAGTGCGTTGGTCAAGAATCATGCTATGTTATCCTACTATTGTTTTGTTTTTTCGTGTTAGTTCTAATGCTGAAGCAGCTGGACAAACCTACAACAATGATGTGAATATTACAGTTCCTGTTGATCTACAATTCAGTATAAGTCTAAAAGGGTGAGTAGGCAGGGTAACTCTTATGTGACATTGTTTATTACAACAATGAGTATTATTCTGCACCCTGTACGACTGTCGCAGCAGGGAGAGTGCCATTTTTGGGGCAGATAGAGGCGACATAACCAACCGTGTTGGGGCTGAGGGAATGCTGATGCCACCACTGACCCATTATGTGATGCAGTGTGTTCCTGGCTTGAGACACACATCACACCAATTTTTAAATCTGGAAAAAAAACCTCAATTTTAAATTACCGACCGGTATCTCTGACACCGATATGTTGTAAAATTCTTGAGAAATTTATCCATTCTGCTATATTTGAACATGTTAAGTCAAATTGTCTTGTCACAGATGTTCAACATGAATTTTACCCTTCCCGCTCGTGTGTTACACAGCTAACTAACCTCCTCCATAATTGGGCATCGTCACTGGACAAACCACGTCCTCCTAGAATTGAAGTTATTTTTTTGGATTACTCTAAAGCTTTTGATAAGTTGCCCCATAACATTCTACTCCACAAACTTGCTACACAGTTTAACATTAGAGGGAAAATATGGAAATGGATCCAGTCCTTCCTATCTGATCGCGTCCAGATGGTTGTATTTCAGGGGTCTACTAGTAGTCTCTTATACACATCTAAGGTACTGGGCCCTATGTTGTTTAACTTGTTCATTAATGACCTTGCTTCCTCTTTATCATCTTGTGCCTTATTTGCTGACGACACCATCATTTATAGAGATGTCCATAGCGTTGATGATGAATATTTAGTCCAAAGTGATTTAAATGCACTCTCCGCGTGGTGTGCCTCAAATGAAATGGAATTAAATTCAAATAAAACTAGTATTCTTCACATTACTAGATCTAAAAAGGAGTACCGTCCGATTTACTACTTGAATGGCTCCCCAATTCAATCTGTCCTAAATCACTCCCACTTGGGCGTCACTATTAACCATACCTTAACTTGGGATGACCATGTAAAAAATATTACAGCAAGGGCAAATAGGATGATTGGTTATATTGCAAGTATTGCCGGAGGTACTTCATCAGCGGCTATATTTGCATTATATCAAGCTCTTATTATTCCTATACTTGAATATGGCATTCCCGCTTGGCTTCCCCAAACTTTAAAGTTGACTGATAGAATCAAATCTGTACAGCGTAGACCCACACGTCTAGCATTAAAGCAGAGACGTGGGGACATGGATTATGTTCTTAGATTAGAACAACTGAATTGGCCTCGTTTATCGAGTAGAAGAACTTATCTTTTAATATCATTTGTATGTAAAACACTGATAGGTTCCATTGACTGTAAAAGCATTCATGAAAATGTATGCGTCAATTCTCGACGACAAGAAACTTTAAGCTTCAAGCATTTGTATGCTCGAACTAATTGTCTTCATCACTCTGTAATACATGTTTTTCCGCGATTGTGGGGAGAAATTTCCAATGAAATTAAAGACTCATTTCTTGTTGATTCTTTCCCTACTT